TTATTCTAGAAGAGTAACAAAGAATTCTGTGACTCCTAAGAAGATAAGGAACTCTTTTCCTAGATTGTGACATTCCTAAGGGAAGACAGGCTGATTTATATATGTCTTTGCTTTCTAGGACCCGGTGCTAAGATTCGCATATGATTGGTGCATAGCGAAGAATTCTTAAATTCACAGAGCACCGATCAGGTACTCAGCACGGGGCTAGAAAACAAAACAAAACAAACAAAACAAAAACCCCACAGATAAGGTGTACTCTTTACCCACAAAGAACTTAAAATTTAGTAGGGAAAATGTGCACATGAGGCGTGCCCCGCATAGAAGGGACAGAGCAGAGGAGCCCTATGGAATGGGACCGCATGAGCGAGAGTTTGGACCCAATGGTTTCCCCCTGAACTTCTTCACAGACATCTCTCTGCTTGCTTATGAAGAAACAGCACACACATTGCACCCTGAATTTCCCTTTCCCAGCATAACTGTGTAGGGTCAGGTCATGGGTGACATGTCTTGCAGCCCACCCTGCTGTGGGGTCAGAGTTCATGGTATTTGGACCCTGGCTGGCTTGCAGTGTTTCCTAGAGGTTGTCACTCAGCTACTTGACCTTCCTATGGTGATCAGATTCACTATGATAGAAAGTTTTTTTGGTGTCTTTTGGAGCTCATTTTTGAAAAATGGTCCACCTGGTGCCTGCTCCCAGGTTCTGGATGAAGGCCAGGGGATAACAGCAGCATGAACTTGCTGTGGATAACCAGTCCTCTGTTATGACTGGGAGCGTTCGCAATGCTATAAATAACTCTATCAATATTGTGATAATGGCACTTTAAGGAGGTCTATTTTACAAGTGCTGCATGTAAGAGAGACTACAGCTGCACTCATTAATTCTGAAGTGTGCCTGCCTCCGTGTACAACTTGCAGGTGTAACAATAGGGGTGTTGACTCAGTGTAGGTCTAGATTGTGTCTAGATTAAGAAAAAGGTTAGAGTAACATTGTTAGTTTCTCCATTGTGTTTGGTATAATGAAAACAAATTATAATAGCTTAATTGGAAATGGGAAAAAAAAGAGCAAAACATAACTTTGTTACAGACTTCAGAGGCTCACAAATAGCTCCTCCCCCTCAAGAGCAAGCATCATAATTGACAGCAGTAGATCTTTTGATAATTAATTGCAGTAAATTATCACTTGGCACAAAGAAGGCATAATTGCAATTAATTTGCAACCTTCGCAGCATAACACTGAATTAGAAATGGCACTGCCGTAATTTTTCCAAGTGAGGAAATGGAGGGTAAAAACAGTGCGCCCTTTTCCTGTGACATGCATTCAGAGGAGAGCCTTACTTACATTGTGGCATCTCTGTGACTCTCTTGGGTTAGGGGTGTTTAATTTAGTATGTGACTGTTGAATGAGAGTTACCCAGTGGGGTCCCTTGCTGAGTTCTCCCAGGGCCTCTCGTCACTTCAGCTTTGCTCAGTCCCACAACCTCAGCCCTGTTCTGTGTCTGGCTTTCTGTATTTGTCTCATTCATTAGTGTTGGGAGACTGGATTAATTCAGATAATAGAAAACAATATTGTTATATTCTATATTATTATAGTCTATTTCAGGAAGTGATATTATTATATTCTTATTTTAAAATTTTAATTAGAAGAGCTTTGTGGAGATATCAGTGACATAAAATTTTATGTGTTTCAGTTGTACAACGAGATTTTTTTTAAAAAATTATTTATTTATTTTTGATTAGGTCTACATGACAGCAGAATACATTTTGATTCATTGTACACAACTGCAGCACAACTTTTCATTTCTCTGATTGTACATGATGTAGTGTAGCATCGCACCATATGTGCAGTCATACATGTACCTAGGGTAATAATGTCCATCACATTCCACCATCTTTCCTGCTCCCATACTGTAACATGATATTTTGATATACATATATGTTGTGAAATGATCACCACAATTATGTTAATTAGCATAGCCATTAACTCTGTATAGCTATCATTTGTGTGTGTGTGTGTGTGTGTGTGTTGACTTAGGATCTAGATTCTAAACAAATTATAGGTATTGAAAATGGTATTAACTGTGTTATAGTTGTAGCTTGATCATAGCGCACTTGCCTAGCATTTGTGAGACACTGAATTTGATCCTCAGCATCACATAAAAATAAATAAATAAAATAAAGGTATCGTGTCCATCTGCAACTAAAAAAATATTTAAAAAGAAAATGGGGGGCTGGGTTGTGGCTCAGTGATAGAGCGCTCGCCTCGCATGTGAGAGACCCTGGGTTCGATCCTCAGCACCATATTAAAAAAATAAATAAATAAACAAAATAAAGATATTGTGTCCATGTATAACTAAAAAAACATTTTTTAAAAAAGAAAATGATATTAACTATTGTAACTGTGCTATCCGTTAGGGCTCCCACAGTTACTCATCTTGTAAAATTGAAACTTTGTGTTCTTTGATCAATATCCTCTCACCTTCCCCTACTATATTTCTAACTAGATGAAAAAAGTGTTTTCCTCAAAATGTTTCACTTTTTTTTTCAATGAATGCTATTTCTGGGGTGATACAGATCATTGTTAAGAATCTTTGCCATGATACATACAACTTTGGAGTGATTATAATCAATCAAATTCCAATCTAATTTCTCAAGAATTACTTAGAAATAGAAATGAGGCATATAAACTATTTTTACTGGGTCCTAGAGCTCTGTTTATATTTCATCAGAGTGCCTAGCGAATAAGACATGAAGCTATGGGATGTGACATCTGGGGTAGAATTAAAGTCAGGCAGTCATTAAGCCCAATGGTGGCCCAGAGATGAATACTTTGGCTTTGCTGCATGGGCCAGAGGCTCCAGGGGTTATGCACCCTTTCCCACCACTACATATATCCACTTGAGAGAGTGTGGAGAGTGGCACTTTGGGCAGTCAGGGCAAGAAACCCATTCCCAAAGTTCTGTATAGTGATTGGTCATTAAAAAAAAAAAAAAAAGATAAGGATCATAGCCTTATTTCAGGCAGACCCATATAACAAAAATAAGCCTTGTTAAATTATTTTTGACAATCTTTGAAGTTCTTAAGCCTTTTGTTATAAACAGTGAAATAAGATGACTTTATAGCCAGAGTTCTTCCCTACTGCTGCCCTGCCATTGAACTCAGGCTTGACCTCTGTGTAACGCCTTCTCTGGGGGTTAATAAATCATTCAATCTTATACAAGGTTCCTTTCTCAAAAACCAATGCTTTAAGTAATCCCTGGTACCCCACACTCACAAATAACTTCCTGCAGTTGGGTTGAATTAATCATGATACTTTTACTGTTTGAGTTAATATTCACCAGTGTCAGGGTACAAACCATCCAACATATTTTCAAGAGACTGCAAATTGAATTCAAACCTTAGCCCTACTTGCCATAGGTCCTAATGTTTATTTTACTGGAACTCCCTAATAAGGACCTAAAGCACATAACAGGGAAATGTGGGTACCATTCACAAGCCCTGGGTTGAGTGCTCATCTACCTGAGGAGTTAAGACTCCAGTTTCACCATCTAAAACTGAAGCATGGTTTCCATGGGACAAGTGGAGGTAAGAAATTTCTGACAGGTTCTCACTTGAAAGAGGAAGTAGACTTACTCTGTATAACCTTGAAGGTGTAGAACAAACATTCGTGAATGAATGCTCTAGAGAGGTAGTTTTGGCATAAGGAAGAATTGTTTTAACATTTAACAAAGATGCTCATCACAAGACAGGCTGTGAGTAGATTGGAAATCAGTAGGCAGGGAGGGGGTGAAGGAATTTCAGTCTGGAATTTGGAAGGAGGTATAGCCCAATGCCCAAAGCCTAGAATTCCTAGTATCCAGTTCTTGGGGCAGAATCACTGATATAACGATGATCAAACTGAAGACCATTCATTTATTCTTCCAGTCATTCATTCTTGCAACAGATGCCTCTGGAGTATTCCAATACCCCAGGCCCTTTCTATGCCCAGGTGCTCTGAAATCATTCAGATATCCTCCCTACCCTGGGCTGTCCTTAGTTGGGCTGGCCAATGAGCCTCAATATTTTAATATTTTTATTTCCCATATTGAGCAGTGTTCACAGGAAGAAAATATATTTGCTCACAAGAAGAAAATGAAAAGCCAAACTTTTAGAATCCTACATAAGATTTAGCAGAAACACAAAAGCTTGGTCTGGCTCCCACCTGCCCCTTTACCAACCTCATTTTGATTCTCTCTCTTTCTTCTGGTTATATTTGCCCTCTTATATTTGTTATATTTGTCTGCTTCCTTCCTTCCTTCCACATTCAACACTCCATGCCTTTTCCTATCCCACGCTCTCCAAAAGGCTGTTCTGGTGACCTTAACTGACTCTTGAGTTTAGACATAACTTGCTCTTTTCCTGTTCTGCCAGTCTGCCCACCCCCCCATCATTGAATGTCCTCCAGGCATCTTGTAGTTTTCTTTATAGCATGTAATAATAGTTTAAAAATAGTTTTCAAATATTTGAATGGATCAAAGAATTGAAATGTTAAAGAATTTCTGAAATCACAGATTGAGATTCAGTGGTAAAAGATGGGGCCCAGGGCAGAGGGTACAGCTCTGGTGGAGAGCTGGCTTAGCTTGCTGGAGGCTGGGTATGATCCCAACAGCACACGTGTGCACACACAGATAGGGCAAAATCCATTGCCCTTCTGGGAATATATCAGATTTAAGAGTAAGATAGAAGCAATATTATATTATATTTTATATACTTTTTAAAAAAATTTTTGAGAATACTAGAGATTGAAACTCAGGAGCACTGGACCACTGAGCCACATCCTCATCCCTATTTTGTATTTTATTTAGAGACAGGGTCTCACTGAGTTGCTTAGTGCCTTGCTTTTGCTGAGTCTGGCTTTGAACTCAGGATCTTCCTGCCTCAGCCTCCTGAGCCTCTGGGATTATAGGCGCTTGTCTTTTATATACATTTTAACACACATATTTCTCTTTTGCTTCTTAAAACAGACTTACAACAGGCATCTGTTAGATGAATTGTCTGAGATCACACAGCTGATAAAAGGAGGGTAGGTACAAGAAAGCAGACCTCCTGACCCAAGTTCAAGCTCATTCTGTGCACAAAGGCACTCTCCTCCACCAGTGTTTCACATTGAAATCAAGGTATGCATTAACTGAGCACTGAGAGGTTGCTGTTTCCTCCTCAATATCCTCTTCTTTCACCCTAAGCCCCCAAATTCTCCCATCCTCTGGGATGCAGCCAGGCTGAGTAGGGGCAAAGGAGAAGGAGAACTGGGGTTAGCCCTGTGGCGGGCATATTTTGGACTAAATCTATTGTCATTCTTTAGTCCAGTGATTTTTTTGAGCTATGTTTTCTGTGGAGCTCTGAGTGGATGCTGCTCCATCACAGGACTCCACAGGTGCCAGTCTTGTGTTACCCTGTGTGAATGAAAGGTGCTCCTGCCTCTGGTCTGTAGCAACTTAGCATTGCCATGGTCATCTCCACTTTACTCCAGCCAATTCTGCTTTGATCTCTTTTGTTAGTTTTGAGGTGCCAGGGATTGAGCCCAGGGCCTTAGGCAAGCTAGACAAATGCTGTACCACTGAGCCACACTCCCATTCCCTGTTCTCTTTTGTATATTGGGCTTTTGAATAAGATCTCACTTGAAGAAAGTGTTCCGCCTAAAAAAAAGCAAACCAAATCCAACCAAACCATACCCCTTCTGAAATGTTACTGTTTATGACCTTACCAGCTGAGGCTTGGGTCACTGAATGGGAGTCATACAGCCAGAGTGGGGCAGAGCAGAGACTAGCACTCGTGCTCTGGACGCAAGGCTAACACTGGCCTCTACTCCAGGCTGCTTGTCTGAGGTTAGAACTGGCAAATTAGTGAGGTGAGATGGCCAGAAGTAAAACTGGGCTGGGCATTGGAAGAAACCTTGTGAAATGAAGGGATGCTATTTGGGGTTCTCCACCTAGTCACCCTTGGGGGCCTCACTACCTTGGTTAGATGTGCACATTTCTTTACTCTTCCCTATAAATAGGCTCCACCTCTGCTCTCACCCAGCCCAGCTAACCCTTCTTCATGTCTTCCCAGGGAAGCCTTTCCTCTCTCAACTTTGAGGACACTGGTAACGAACACCAGGGTCCCTTATCTGTCTCCTAAAATGTCTGGGTGTGCAATTCCTTGAATTCTACCTTACTCTCTGGGTGTACTCACTGAAGACCTCCCATAAAGCAGGGATAGATCTGTGTCTAATTCTAGGACACTTCTGATGACCTTTTCCAAAGAATGGAGATGTTTATTGTTATTGTTGTTCTTGCTCATTAGCAAGCAAGAAGGCTAAGTATTTTGAGCCTCTTCATGCTTTTGTCTTTGGGGTGAAATAATCATTTTCCATGGACCTTGTGACTTCATCTGGCTCTGAGAGAAACTTGGCGTTTTATTTAAGGTTTTCTGGAATATCCAAACCAGGCAAGCACAAATGCATTAAAGAGAAGAAAGTTACTGTCAGTGTGTCGAAGTTGTAGGCAGTCAGCAACTGTTGCAAGCTTGAATTAATGATGGGTACTACTTCTTAACTCAGAATCCTCTGGCAGTGCTGGCAAAACCTATGTGACCATGTTAGATGCTCTGGCTAGGGGATATGTAAGCTAGACTTCAGGTGGCGCCTCTCTGCCTATTGAAGTGGGGGAGAACACAGATCTAACCTTCATCTCAAGGGATGTGGAAACACTAAACCATCCCCAGATCATGGGACCTCACCTTGGGTCTGTTGTTCTATGGCCTATCCTGAAGCTGAGCTCTGCTTTAATTTAACCATCCCTCTCTATGCCTTTTCTCTCTGCCCCACGTCATGTGTCTGGTTCCTCACACCCCACCTGAGGTGGAAGCCAGCCCTTTTTCCTGATTCCCACTAGGAAAGCTACCCCTCAAGAAGTCATGCAGGTATACAGAAGACTTCCCTGAAAGTGGAGGAAGAGGAGGAATTTTGATTGCAGCAACACAGATAACTTGAAAATTTCACATTACAGATTTTTATTTCTAAAATCCCTTTAGCCAATTGGATACACTGGACTCCAGCCTCCTGCCCTGCAAAATGTCTTTCGTCTCTAATGTCCCTGCTGTTACCTCCAACAAACAAAGCAAAACAGCAAAACAGAGGCAGCCTGTTTCCTCCTGCAGCAGAATTAAGCTCTCTCAAACTTTTGTCCTCTAGATTCAGACTTAAACTCATCAAGGTGTTTAGCAGGATAAAAGTCCTTTCATGCACAAGTTGTCTCCTTCTCAGAAATTAAAAGCACAAAGTCAAACAAAAATTGCCCTTGGCTTCATTTGGAATTAGCGTGGGTTGTGGGGCATAAGAAAAGCTCCGTGGGGTGTTGGCTGGTACAGGATGCCCAGTTCCCAGGAAAAAGGCCTGGGCTTCAGCACACGATGAGGAAGGACAAAGGGGTGGGATCTCTGCAGGGTCTCTGCAGGGCCTTTGCAGGCAAAGTGGCTTCCCTTTTGCTGACTCTGCATTCCAGGCACTGTCACCACTTGCTCTTTGGAAAGGGGACCGCAGAAAAACGTGCCCTGCTTAGAAATGACAAGCTTACCCAGCCTTGCTGGAGGCGGGAGGGCTGCTGAAAGACAGGCACATCCTGAGGAGGAGCCCTCCTCTAGAGCCCGTGGCCTGTGTCAAGCATTGTTGTGACCACCAGCATGAATGTGATGCTGTGTTGTGCTCCTGGGCAGGACTGCCTCTGTGCACTGCCTTCCAGAGATTGGGATTTGAAAGATGGTTGTTAGATGTACGTTAAAATGGCAAAGCCAAGTTCAATGAGCCGCTTCAGGTTCTCATCCTGGTTCTGCCTAATACCTGTTGAGTGACCTTGGGTAAGTCTTCCCTCACCCTCAGGCCTCAGTTCTCTCACTGAAAAGTGAGGGTTCTTTGTTTTCAAAGTGTGTTCCTCAGGGATTCTGTGAAGCCTTGCAGAAGGGTGAAGAGGTAAGGGGAGAAAGAGATCCCCACCAGGGCAGTTTGGTTTCCCTTTGTTTTATTGCTAGTGGTGCTAAGATTTTCCTTGCATAAAGGATTTGGCCATAAAAGTCTGAAAGCAACGGCTCAAAAGGATGGCTGTCTCCGGCCTTTTCTAACGCTGATGTTACATGATTCTAGATGGAGGCATGAAAAAAGAATGGATGCTGGGAAAGACGCAAGCACAAGAAAAAGAAATTCCTGCAACAAATAAATCCCAGGCCAATCTCTCTTAATCTCTGAAAGTTTAAAGATTTAAAATCTACTTTAAAAAGAAAAACCTGCAGTTCTCAGCAAATAGAGGCTACTTTAAATTATTCAGGTTTGTTATACCCACAAATCACCTATACAGTACATTCTAAATAAAAAGCTAATAACTCTCTTTGCAAGAGGTGTCCCTTTCAGGGGCCATGTATAAAGCATTAACCTGCACTGGGAGGAAATAATACTAGTGATTTTCAAATTACACTCATTTTAGGAAATAACTTAAATAAATGAATCTGGCCAAATGCAGCCTCCTTATTTCCTCTGCATTGAAATGCAGGGGTAATATTTTTCTGCCAGCAAGTATTGGAAACAAAAATCACTTAGAGCCATAAGTACTTAAAGTAACATTTTGGAATCTTTCATAAAATTAGGTTAATACCTTTCCAAAACCTTTTGCTTTTTATAGCTTAGAAGGATTAGGGAGGGGCTGTTGGGGGGTTAAGAGGGAGAAAGAGGACACACATCAGATTCATAGTTCTGAATTTGGAGACTTTTGTAGTCATTCTAGATAGTTCCCTATCATATGCTTCTGTCTTTCTTGCTAGGCCCTCATCCAGCCTCCAGAAGACCCTTTCAGGCATGGCTAAGAGTCTGTTCTCTTCTCAGATCTAGTAGTTGGAAAATACTTGACACGGAGTCAACCCTCCATGTTTGTGAATTAATGCAAATATCTTGCCCCCTGGTTTTCATCAGAGGGGCAGTCAGTCTCCCACGGGAGTGTACAGGACAATATTCCTTCAAGGGTGATCCATAGGAGGGGAGGATGCTCACTGGAGGTGGGTGGCGTGGATGTTCAGGACACACTCTATCTTCCTTGTGCCTTGCAGTATATAGAGCAGCAAGGTTAATCCAGGGTGTCAGCTTAGACTGGAAAAGCCAAAGTCAAATGAAGCATCTAATGCTGAAGAAGACAGGGAGGAAGTATGAGGGTAGGATGTAGCACAGCAGCTGGAGGTCTGGGTTCCAGTCCGCTGGGGACCTTCCCAACTGATTGGGGTGATGTCTGTTTAGTGTGTCATTTCCTCATTTGTAAAATGAGAACAATGTTTACTGTATAGGATGGTAGTGAGGATTCAGTCTGGGAGCATTTATTGAGCACCTACAGTTTTACCCAGAACTGTGGCACATCATGCCTTTGAGTGTGCTATCTAAAGAGGAGACAGACAAGTATGCAGATGAGTGCAATGTGGTAGGGAAAGTGCTGCAGTCAAAGAAGTATGGGGTGTTTGTGGGACCTGGCAGAAAGACCCCAACCCAGCCTGGGTTGGGGAGGGTGAGTCTGAGCAGACTTCTTGGAGGATAGATAGGTGAAGCAGGGGTTGTGAGCTGTGTTGGGAGGAGGGCAAGCCAAAGCCAAAGGCAGGACCATGATGATCATGAGAACTCTGTATATTATGCTAAGAACTTAGGTTTCATTCCTGGTGATGGGAAGCCACAGGAAGGTTTGGTGCAGTGATAAATTTTGCTGATGTATTGGGAAGCACCAGCCACAGAGCAATGTTCATTTAAACATTTTGAGTTGAGATCATTTTTCCCTCAGAAGAGTCCCTGCATTTCTTAGCTCCGTGCATATAAAGAAAACCTTGATAAGAGAGACTTAATGCCATAAAAAGGGAACTGAACCAGCAGTCAGGAGACATGATCCACACTCCCCTACTTCCTGGCTATGTGATCTTGGGAAATTTACTTAATATCTCTGATGTTCAGATTCACAAACTCTCAACTGGGATTAGCAGTACCTGCTCCGTTTAATCAGAGTGCTGTGAAGGGTAACTCCCTGTGTCAATATCAGGAGTTCATGTTGTGTTTTTTGGAGCTCACCAGAGGATGCCAGGGATCTAAGGTCATGGGACAGGGAGATATGTGCAGGCA